TCACGGAACCCCCAGCCCGGGCCCTGCGTCCCCCGGCGCGGCCACAACGCAGGGACACGGGGACACGGAGCCACCGCTCAGCGCTCGACCGCAAGTTCCTCTCCACTGCAGTTTGCTCTCTTAATTTTTGCTCTTGAGATGCGCAGAGGAAACCACGTGTTGAAGGGTTTATCTTAAGCGTTTCTCTCCAGTTCCTCTATGGCCCTGCAGCGAAGCGCAGAGACAGTTGGAATTCCACCCAATATGTGTGTGCAAAATTCTTTAATTTTCAAAAAATCACATTATGACTGCCTTTTAGTCATTAAAAAGAAAAAATCTGGTTAATCCGTAGATCCTGCACAGGAGTTTTCTGCAGGAAACTGCCAGGTGCAGGGGCTCACTGATGAGCAGAGCTGCTGCTATCTGGCCATCGTTAACACCCAATAAAAGAGGGCACTGGGCCCCAGCCACCCTTTGGCCTCTGCTTGGTTTCTTTTTCAATGTAAAAGCTCACGTGGAAGTTCTGGTGTCAGTCAGCAACAGGTAATTTGCTAATTATTTAAAATAATGGTGACGGTTTGAGCTGCAATGGGGAGGTTAATCGAAATTTCTGAAAACGTGCGCCCTTGGTTTTACAAAGCAAAACGGTTCTCTGGTTGATTTTACTAATTAAATCCTTGATGCTGGGTATTTTAGCAGATCCATGTAGGCTGCTACTCGTTTGTAGTGCAATCTGCTGCACACTTGGCTTGGAAGTGCTGTAAATGGGATCTGGAGGTCCCTGGGTGTGAAGGGGCAGGTGAGGGGCTCCCTCCTCGGGCCCTACCGGTATCTACAGGGTGCAGGAAAACTCCGTGTTCTTCTACATCCCTCTGCCCCGGGGTGGTGGGTCCTTGGCACCCGGGCTGGGTTTTCTTGCCTCGCTCGTTTGGGCTGCGTCGTCGTCTCTTTAGAACACGCACACGGTGCCAAGGAAAACGTTTTATTGGGAAACGGCAACAATTCCATCCAACAGCTCGGCCGGACTGTGAGGGAATATACGATGGAATGGTTAACAGCATCTACCCGAGCCTCTCCGAGATGTCATATTGAGCACTTTGGAGACGATGGTTACTACAAAATATTCCAATGCTGTCAGCCTTGTTTGTTTGTTTAATAACTTAATAACTACCACAACCTTCTAAATCTAAAAATCTAAGAGAAATGCCATAAACCTTGTTGAGATTTGCTGTGGAGTAGCTGATGCCGCTCGTGTTTCGCTGCTCTCCTCCCACCCCTCAGCTACCCGGGACGTTCGTTACGGTGCCAGTGCAGCGGTGGCAGCCCCGGGTGCCAATGAATGCAGCTCTTAGCCAAGGTACTCACCTGCTGCTCCCTCCATGCCAATACCATTTTTTCATATAATCTCATCAATATAGAATAATATTAATTTGTATTAAATGGGAGAATCTTAGATTTCACGTTTGTATTTCATTTACGGAATTACCAATTTCATTTAATAGAAAGAATAATAGAAGCTTTTTCTCTTAACCTGAAAACTAAAGTGATAAATTTGTAGCTGACTTCCTGTTCTTACAGGAGAACAGAGGATAGGGTTGTTCTTTCAACCTACACTAATTATTGCCACATAAACCTTTTGAAAGCTACTTTAAAACTTAAGAAAGTGGCAAAGCAGAAACTAATACTTGGGTTTCTTGTGCTTCTTTTCGGTTCCTTTGACTTGCTGGATAATAACTTTCACGATCTTTTCCATTTTGGCTTTTGTCAGCGATTTCCTACAGTACCAGATCTGGTCCCACACGGAGCACAGAGGTTTGGGAGCCAGGTAGAGCGGGTCATAGTCATGGAGCATATCCAGCGGCCGCCTCTTGGCGTATTCCTTATAGTCCTGGACTGGACAGTTCTCGGGATTATCGGGCTTGGCATAGACACACACAGTTGTTTCCCCTGTGTTTGCCTCTGCCTCAAGCCCATTCCTCCATTCCAGGTATTCCAGCCCCTCCTCGTTCTTTTTCAACACGAGCTGGCCCCAGTACAGATTATGACTCTGATTATGCGTATTTGCCCCAAACCCCCTAATGATATTTATGAGCATGAGATGCAAAAAGCCTTCAGGGTGTGTGTGACTTACTACCCCCTTTTTATGAAGATTTTCCACATCTCTATCTGTCAGGGTCTCCAAAACACTCCAATCCCTCGCCCTCTCTTTCTGTGTTAGTTGCTGACACTTTTGTTTTAAGGCTTCTTGGGATGCTCTGAACTCCATCCCTCTAACCACGTTGTACTCATAGCTGTGATCCTTGAGGTATCTGTCTATGCTGCTCTGGAAGAAGTACAAAGAGTTGGCAGAAAACTCTGTGCCATTCTGCTTCTTTGCATTGGTGTAGAAGGAGGCCAGGTAACCATCGAGGTCTTCTGGTGGCAGGAGGAAGATCTCACGCGTTTCAGAAGGGAAATGCAAAGTCAACCAGTCTCTGAACATTTTTATGTCACCAGCGTTGCGGCTTCTCTTATTCTCCCACTTTTTCAAGACATCTAAAAGATAAGACAGAGCTTTGTGGATAGCAAGAACTAACAAGGGGATCAATGAAATATAAGGAGATGAAATATAAGGAAATGTTCCCTTTCTTTTACAAATAGTTCAGAGGTAATGGGATGTTCATGTATCTCTTTAAAGCTTTGGTTTGATTGGTGGTTGAAGTAAGCTAGTCCAGTCGTTATCTTAAAATACTGTAGCTGGACTGAGGTGGATTATACACAACTCTGTATTGCCTTTTTGGGATTTTTATTGACTGGTCTGTGTGAGGAGATGAAGAGTTTATAAATCAATACATGGGGAGGCATCACGAGAGCCATAAGTGATTTATCTTGGCAGAACCAGCTATTACACAGACGTACCCAGGTGAATCCTCAGGAGCTTCTGATGATAAATGTAATCAATTAAAGAAATAGTCTAACAACATCTTAAAAAAAATAAAATAAATAAGGGGGGGGTCATTCTATGCAGCTGTGACTTTGTATGGAGTAAAATGAAAGACCAAAGCTTTCCAAACGGGTGGTTAAAGCTGAGCCACTGCTGGATAAACCTCAGTAATTGGCATTATCTATTGAAATGCTGATTGCTTACGGGAGGAACCTTTTAGTCCCTTCTAGCAGAAACAGTGTGCTCCAAGTGAGACGCATTTATGCACATGCTGCAAGACAGATTTTGGCAGCTATATGAAATTGCCCTCCCTTACCATTTTGAAAAAGCAATTATTAAAATGCACCCCTAAACACACAAACCCTTCCAGGAATAAAAGTGCAGGCTCTCACTTTTGTCTGAAGACACCGGTGGATGATCTGAATTCTTGTCTGCTGGACTCGGTGAGGCTGAAACACGAGGTGCATGCTGAGATCCTAATGGATTACCCTCCTGAATAGGGATTTCAGCAAAGTTCCTAATTAAGCTTATTTCTGATGTGCCACGCTCAGGAGAGCTCAGCTGGAGATGCTGCTGGACATCTACTGTGGCTTCAAACTCAAAGAATGTCACAGAGGAAGGGGACTCTTGTTGGGCCTTTGCTTCAACGTCGGAAACAGGAACAGATTTGAAATGTTCTTTAGATATTGCTGAACCAGAGGAATTCCTTGCGTTAGAAGTCTCATTTTTGGGCTCTGCAGGATTAAGAGGAAGAAGCTTCCAGCTGCTTTCCAGGCTCTTCTGGTTGACGTCTTCTAAAGCCTCCTGTAAGCAAGGAGTCGACGGTGGCTTCTCCACGGGGGCACAGCCACACGTGTGGGTGGCTGTCTGCATGTTAATGGCTGTCTTCCAATTGCGATGCATTTGCAATTCGACCTCAGCAGCTACTCCTTTAATTTGTAATTCTGACAGCATACTCCAGTTGATTCTGTCGATTTGGTTTTCTGCATCTGAGACAAACTGCTCTTCATCAGAGATGATTTGCAGATCTTCATTGCTTTCTAGCTTCACCTTATGTAGGTCAGTTTTGACTTCACCATCAGGTACTGGAAAACGCTGCTCTGCTGCAGAATGGGATCTCATGGATTTACTGTTTTTTTGAGTGATCAGTGCACTCTCATTTTTTCTGAGTGTTGTTGGTGCTTCACCTGTTAGGTAAACAGTGTCGTCTTTGTGCGGAGTGACCTCTGGAGATCTGCTACGTGAGCCCGGGGGAATGCAGTCTCCTCTAGCCCTCTCAAAAGATGGGGTTACCTTGAACCTCTTTTCATGTAAACTGGGTTCCCCTGATGACATCTCATAGGACAGAGCCCTCTTTCTCTCTTCTGCAGCTTCCTTCTCATCTCCACTTCTCAAGCATAGTTTTCCACAGGACCAGTGATACGCGTGTCCAACACCGCATATCCACAGAATGGAATTATCCTTGCTAGGGTGACCCACGTTCTGCCCGTTTTCCAAGGTGGGGATTTGACTGCATATAGTTCCATGAGTGTGGGCCCAAGTCACGAGATTGGAGAGATCCGTGCGAACCGAGCTGACGCCACTGCCTCTTCGGTCACCAGCATTCTCATTCTGCAAAAAAAAAGTGGTGGGAATGACTTGGGTGGAAGAGAACATGTATAAAATGACCAACCTGGGGGCTGTTTCCAGTCCAGTCTCAATGGATTGATAATTCTAAGTCGGTGAATCTTCCAGTGAGGCTTTTTGAAATGACTTGTTTGTGCTTAAAAGGCTTAGCCTGCCCTAGAGGCAAACACGAGCCCTGGGACCCGAGCGAGGCTGCACCTGGGGCCGCTTCCCAACCCCTGCACGGAGGGTGCCGGGAAGCGGCGCGCGGCCCCGCCGGCTCCTGCCTCCCCGCGGCTGCTATTCCCTCCCTCCGGCAAAATGGCAACTCCGGCTGCAACCAAGGGGATTTGACACACGGGGGAGAAATCTGTGGGATGCTCTTCTGAAAAATGGACCTCGCATCCACATACCTACATAAACTCATAAAAAAAGACCTACGACATTCTCATACTATAACTGATTCTGCTAGAAAACATTGTCTGTGGCATTCCTTATGCTACAGAACACCAGGATAGCCAAATACTCACCATGCTGCTGTCTTCTGTCTTACTGAATGTGCTTTCAAGTGGAGTTCAGTGACTGACTATTCTTTCCTTCTTTTTTTTCTTGACTACTCCTTCCTTCTTTCTTTCTCAGAACCTAAAATAATCATTGTGTATGCATATAAATACACATATATATTTTAATTCTGGCTAGCAGATGCAGGGAAATTTTTCAGTACTTGGCCTCCAATGAAGGATGTTGCAAAGGATGTGACCTTACTAGCATGAGCAAAGCTTGCACGGACTGTATACAGAAATGCTACTTGTGTAAATATTTGTAGGATTGCAACACACCAAAGATGAAACAAAACATAAAATTTGCAAATAGTCTAGTTTTTAAAACCCTCCCTAGATGGTCCCTTGCAGAGCATTTAACGCAGATGGCTGTTTGCAAATTTGAGTTTGTAGAAACTGGAGTAAACTCCGGAAACGGAAATACCAGAAACAGTGAAATGGGTTGAGGTTGGGAAATTTCTGACTTCCAAACCTTAAAAAAAGCTAATTTCCTAACTGGAGCATTTTTTGCGCAGGTAGTTCACATTTACCAGATATTAAATCTGAATTTCCTCCCTCTGTTTGAAAACCTAAATGCAGCAGTGTTGAAGGCCACGAAGGTCTGTGTGACAGAGGGGCAATGGGTGACACAAGTGGCTGCCGGCCGGTGGCCTCGCCACGTGTCACCGGTGCAGCCTGTGTGTCCAGCTCACCGTGGCAGCCTTTGCTCCGGGCGTCTTAGGCTGTTATTAATTAAAGTTTAGCATTTGGAGGCGGAAAAGAGCCAGGCCTGGCCATGGGAATCTGGTCTCCGTGGGCAGTTCTGGCAGCCGGGGCTGAGGGCAGTTAAAGGAGCTTTGCTGGATGCAGAGCCCAAAGCAAAAGGCTTGGGCAAAAGCTGCTCCATGTGGGAGGAAGAGCCATGAAGTGCCTGGCCAGGACAAGGCAGGGCCAGCACCAAATCCCCAGCAATTACTGACTCTTCTGCAATTAGGCAAAGCGCAGCCCGAAGCAGAAAGGAGACAAAAGCAAAACACACAAGAAATTCTCTCCCTACCCTCAGGACGCAGGTCAGGGCACTAAATGCTCCTTTCAAAGAACAAATTGCAGGTCAAATTCCCTCTCGCCAAGTCAGTTTTCCTTCCCTATGGAGAAGGAATCGTGGAGGTGAGAGCTGCTGTTTGGGGAGCAGGGCTCCCTGCACTGAGCACCTCTCCCTGGGTGCCTTTCTGTGCATAAGTTTAGCCTTGGGTGCTCTGCATGTTTTGCATATGCTAACACATGCAAAGCTTGGATTTTCAAAGCGTTTTCTCAATCAAAGCCTTTCTTTCCTTCCAAAAATCCCTCTAAAAATCTTTTAGGGAAAAAAATACGTTTAAAAGGAGCCTTAAAGCAGGTTTTACTTTCAGCATGGCCTCCTTCACAGCGGATCACAGCAAAGGGGGCTGGAAGTCGCCTCCAAGAGCCGCCCGCTCTGCTTAGCCTTGCAAAGCTGGACCCAAACCCCTGGGAAAGCTGCTGCTGCTTGTGGAAGTCTGAGTTTTATGAGTTTAAAATGAGTAATTCCTCCCTAATGGGCCGGTCAAACGAACAGGAGCGAAGCTGGCGCTTGGGGCTGGTGTGGGAAAGGGCAGCGGGATGGGAAGCTCTGCGTGGTCACAAGGCCCCGGAGTCACTGACGTGGCAGATGGACTCCCTGATTTCTATCGCCGGCGCTTTAAATGGAATGCTTTTATCCCGTTTTATCTCCGAGCACATGTCTTCCTTTTCCTGATCTCTTCTGAAAAGCCTTTTTCTTTTGATATTTAGTTCCAAATAAAAGCTCTGGTAATCAGTTAAGGACCCCTCAGCTCTGCTCTGCTCTCCTGTTTACATCAGTTGAGGTTCTGTCCAAAGAGAGTGTCCAATAGGAATCAATTTGGATTTATTCTGTGGCAATTAAGCGGAAAAAAAGAAAGTATTTATCTATAGGGGTGAATCGGCACATTTCTCTGATCTTCAGCTGATAAAAATCTATCTTGATGGATACTACGATGTTCCATGTGCCCAACTGATGGGATCTACGTGGCGGGTGTTGGAGGTTTGGGGATTTGTCCTGTTTTCCGGTCTGGTTCGGTCGCTGCCTGGCTGAACGATGCAGCGTTTTAATGATCCTTCCAGCAGAGGCTCCCATCTGATTACGGACAAACCCGCAGGGCCGGGCAGCAAAGCAGCACGTGCCGAAGCCGGATGGCAAAGGCTGGCTTAAAAAAAATTGAACTGCTATAACCTAGAGCTAAGGGAACTTCATGGCCCGCAGAGGAAGTTAAATGTCCTTACAGCTACGAGGTTTTGCTTTCTCACAGTTCTAATCTACAAAATAAACTTTCAAAATGTCAGCACAATATATGCTTATTTTATACCCATATTCAGGAAAACGTGGCCAAATAGTTGCCAAGTCTGCTGCATTTCTATGGAGGCTTCTAAAACTATAGAGTGGCCAGAAGAACTGAAGGTCTTCCTCTTTTTTTGAGTTTTCTGTGTCTAGTTTGAGAATCAGAAAAAAGCAGACTCGGCATTTTGTGGATGTGGTTCTGTCGGAGCCTGCATGTGCAAACATCTGATTTTTGCTCTTTTACATTTAGGAGGGCTCGGGGTATCGCTCGGGGAAGGCTGAGGGTCTCTGGAGCCCTCTGTGACTGCAGAGGGTTGTGCGAGCGGGATAACTAAATAGAGCAGCTCATTGCACGGCCACTGAGAGCCCTTTAACCGCCTTGTGGCTTCTCCACCACCCTGGAATAGAGCTAACTCTTTCTCTGAGGTCTAATATTCCCTGTTCCACAGGCGACAAACGTGGAGACGGCACAATGTGGTTAAACAGGGGGGCTGTGGCTTTCTGACTCTAGATAAGACAGTGCAGGAAGCTGCAACAATCCTGGTAGGAAAACAACAGGATGCAGAACAACAGCACTTAAACTTGGCTCCTGCCCCTTCCCCGGCATGGATTGTTTGTGAAACGTGTCCTGGAGGTGGAGGGACACGGGACAGCTGGAAAACCCACGCAGAAGAGGTGGTGTTTTGCTGGATTGCTGCTGCAGGACATGGATAGGAGAATGTGGCACAGGAATGGGATGAGCTGTGCTTAAAAACAGTCTGGTTGTGACCCACGAGAGAGCAGAGCCAGCATCAGAAGCGGCCCATGGCTACTTCTATTCTGGCCCGGGGCCAGAAAACACTGAGCGTGTCCCACCGCTCAGCAAGGGCCTTTGGCATGGATTAATCATTTTCCAGCACGTTGGTCTTTCCTGTTCCCTGCAATGTTTGTGTCTCTCCTCCCCCTTCCCCCGTACCAGAGGCTTCTCAGCACCTTTCCAGCTTCGTTCCTGCTCCATGACCTCTTTCCAACAGCAGCTTCTGCTTCCCTTGCAGAAATACCACCCCCACGACAGGCTCCGTGCTTGCTCCAGGGCAGCATTCCTCCGGTTGCAGAAATGTTCCTAGGAAGTCCCATCCAGTGCAGGCCCTGACCGCACCGGTCTGAGCGACTGCTCTTATCTGCAGTAACCACATTCCTTAAAGGAGATTTTGTATCTCCGTCCAAGGAACTGGACAAAACTCCTTCCCTCTGAGCTCTGATGATCCCCTCTCTCGAGGGCCTGTTTTACAGCACTGCTGTCCTTGTATTGCGTGGGTAGCTCCAGAGCAAGTCTGCCTAAGAAGAGCTAATAAAAATCCGCAGCTGGCAGAGAGCTGCCTGGTCCAACAGGCTGCAAGCGGCCACTAAAAACAGACGGAGTAAAGGGAAAACTAAGTGCTCTAAATAGATCCTAATATTTTATTTTTCTGGAATTAGTGGGCAATTCTATGACTTGGTACAACAAATTCTGCAACGCTGAAATTCTGTTAGAATTGCAATGCAAAATTCTGTTATGCATCCTGGTAATGCTCCGCATGGAGCGGCGTCATGGCTGCAATTTGCTCCCCAAGGGGAGAACGGGCCACCGGTTTTCACAGCAGTTCTACAGACAGACGGGTTTATTTTTCCATGGATTTTTTCCAGCCCTGCGCTCCGAGTGAGCACATGCTGGTATCTGCACAGACCTGACTGTGGGAACTGGGTTCCCAACAGCCGTTTGTATGGAAATGATCCCGTTCCACCCTAAGGGGGGGAGGCTGCGGCAAGGCGGCATTCGGAGCAGCGTTTCCTTCTCTAATTGCTTCTCTTGCTATTTGTGGAATTTCTCACCCAGTGCAACTTCCCTAAACATGTGGCAGCGCTCTCTGTTTCTATAGAAGTATAAAAAACTTTTAATGCTCGCTATTTCCCAGAGCTTGAGCTCAGCTGGATCAAAACAAGAAGGGGATTGTGCCAAGTGGGGGCAGCTCTTTGCAGCCGGAGCCCGTCGCATCCCGGCAGAGGGTGCTCGGCTGCCGCGCTCCGTCCCGGCCGCGCTCCGGGCTCCGTCCCGGCCGCGCTCCGGGCTCCGA